ACATCTATTGTCGATAGACTGCAACGATCATACACTAAGACACATTGTCCTCGTCTCTCACCTCTGAGGTAGACCGACTATCAGAAAACAGGAGTACGACAGCTATCCAAAACCACGCAGCGAATGACTATAGCCTGAAAATAATTTATCATGATAACAAATTGGTAGCACCATTTTTAATTACTATTGGTAAATGCTGCATCTTTATGTAAAGTTTTCAGACGATTAATTTAGGAAACATCCTTCGAATGTTGCAAATTGAACGAATTTGCGAAACTAACTGAAAAAAATAGACAAATCGTACGTACAGAAATCCCTTCAAAATGATCTGTATGAATTTAATTTAACCAGACCAATCAAAAACCAAAGACGGATAGAAAGGAAAGTCCTAAGGCTAAGATCAAAACCGCAATATTGTATGGATTTACCGCTTCTTATATATACAGTATATATATGGCATTTTCTCTTTATGATTAGAGAATGTGAGATGTCGCTAAGGATTTGATAAGTCGTGCCTAAACTATTTTGGTACTTCAAACATTATAAGGAAAGAAGATGTAATAACGTATTACAATAGAATATAAACAGGTAATAAGTGGCGGTAGCTTCAACGACCAGAACACGTAGCATGGCAATCTTCAATAAAAACTAAAGCAAACTGTCTCTGGTAAACGAGGGAAATCGCAGGAATGAAGTCCAGAAACCGACACATATCAAACGCAACGGAAAAAACTAACCAATAATGACACCATTGGCAACAGGCACACACATAGTAGAACGGAAGGCAAGCTGTGAAAATGTGATCGCCGTGGTGGATATTTATATACGCTATTTTTCACTTGAAGTTAGCCAACGAAACTTAGCCAAGTTTCGTTTTCCAGCTTCAAACGCTGGGGCGCATCAGACGAAAAAGTGTAATTACTTTCTGCGCAGCAACGTTCACCGCAGGACTTGTCAACTGCTGTCGACTTATCGCCTCCGAAAACGCTTTGCCCTCCGAGAGCATCTCATGACAACAGAAGCTAGGCATCGGCCGTGATTGTGCGCGGCGGTTCTTTGCGAGGGATTCACGGCGCGCTGCCAGTAAACCGTTTCCCCAAACCGGTTCGGCTAAAATAATCAGCAGGACTGAAAGACTGGAAAAGGCAAAATGAAGAAAACCACAATGACCACGGCGACGAAATATAACGTAAAAAACATCTGAAAAAAAATTCCTTTTTGACGTTTGCACCTTCAATAACACGCCACTAAATCAGAAATTGACGAAAAAAAAAAGTAATCGCTGCAGCTTTAAGAGCTTTACACACGAATGGGTGCAATTTGCAAACACCTATTTGCTCTCTATAGAGAAAAATCGGAAAAAAAGGATCAGTAAGGCCTATCAGAAAAAGTGGTGCAAAAATTTTAGAAATGGAATGGGAGAAACGAACCAGGGGATCAACGAGCAAGATGAGCCAGTGAACACTAAAGAAAACAATTCTTTGGCAACGGCAACTACAGCGGTGCGAGGTCGGTTGGTGATGCGCAGTCAGAGCAGTGCTACCGTGGTTAACAGCTGAATTAATAGTAATAGGACTACTTGCGAGTGTTACGCATCACCATGAGTAGCGAGTCAGATCCACCGGATAGTTTGTTGGCTCGCTGGAGGGGGGCGGCAGGTAGGTCGCTGCAGCAAACCCGATGCATAAATCTGAAGTGTGTCGAGCCGGGGGTCAATGGCACACAATAGGGGGGAAGCAGCGTTGTCAACTCATGTTGTTTAAGCAAGTTACCATCAAGAATCGCTGGTGCTGCAAGTATTCGTTATTGTATTTGTGTCTATGTGCCTCCCTGCTGTGACTGAAGTCCGAACGTTGTTTCTGAAGAAAAGCAATAGCTCTAAATGGAGTATGAAGTCAAAAAAAAAAAAAGCTGCTATCCCGTTCCTAACGATGCTGAACGCCATTTTAAAAATTCGTGAATAACGCTGTATCATATCACAAAATAAGGGCTTCGAAATTGTCGTAGGAAAATGCATGTATAGCAACAAACATTATTGAAACGAAAATGCAGAAGGCGATGACGGCACTTATCACGATCTGCGAATATTTTATTGAATATATATGTAATAATATCACAAGTTTACCTACAATAGACTATCTTTGTTCCAAAATTGCGTCCCTGTATTGCATGCGTTCTGTCAAACAAAATTGCTTTCAACTAAATTAGCACTATTATGATGTTTCATTTCTTGTAAAATTAAAATTTAGGAAATTAAGTGGCAAATCTAGAAGAAGTCCTAATATATTATATGCAAAATACGGTTCATCATAAATTGTTATCAGTACAGTGTATCACTTTGCTAGTTGGCAAAAAAATGTCAATCATGTCATCCGACATTTCGTAATTTTTATCATAAAATAAAAACACATGCTGTGGGGATAACGCTGATGAAACGAAGCGCTTTAACTTCAGCTTCATTTCCTGCCTAATGCTTTTTTCAACCACAACAGAATATTGTGGATATATTCAGTATTGATAATTATTGTAGAATAGTAATGAACCCTCTTTTCCGCAAAACTGATGAGGAAAAAATAAAAACATGCAGAATGAGCACTACCTTATAGAATTTTTCACCATTAATTAATGGCTGCTAAGACGTAAGGAAGATAAGTATTCTGGCACTTTGTAAATATTAATAATTATTGTATGTATTAGTACTGTTATAATCAGGCTATGTCTGAGTCCACCGCTTTAAATAATTGTTTTAACCAGATAACTTAGAGGGCCATGTAAAAGCGCAAAAAAGGGGTGGCTGAAGAGTGGTTAATTGCTTTGTCGCCGTATCTGCTGCCCTCAAGTTGTTTCTCGAGGCAAATAGCATTGGTTCAGTGTCGAGTGTGACCAAAGTACGGTTTGTGGGGCCCCTACACAAGTTCTTACAATCGCCATTGATTAAGTTACTATTAATAGATGAACTTCGAGAGGGTTCGATTTTCTCTATTGCATTTATTGCTCAAGATAGATCCATTGCTCCTTCGGATAAAAACAAGCGAGACACGACGGTAAGTAGACGTACACAAATCACCCCAAAAATTTGGGCATCAACTAATTCGTGGAAACGCTGTTGTATATGAGAGAATACGAATTTTAAAATAGTATTTTTGGTAGGAAACGATACGTCAACAAAAAAATGTAAGAAAAAATGCGATTCTGTGCAAGTTGTAGCGGGCTGAACTTAAGATCTTGGTAATAGCAGACAATCATGCAGAAAAGTGTTATTATCGTCGGTATCCACCGTATTAAAGATAGAAACTATATAGCATTGTATTATATTTAAAATTGATTCATTGCGCTAACTCTGTGTAACAGCTTCGTTTGATGATACGTCAAATGCTGTCGCGTAAATGAATTCACCGTAGCTTTCTAAAAATACAAGCTGTACCAACATTTATAATGCATGTTGCACGACGTCGGCGTATTGCATTTAATCAACGGTCATCACTACCCTCGCACAATATCGCGGTACTGCTCATTATCAAGGTCTTCCATACAATTGTAGTACACAAACAGAACACAAACGCTAAGTAATGGACGAACTGGCGGTTTGCCTCATTTAATCGTCACGTTAGCTTCAATTACCCCCGTCCAACTGCGATGTCGTTGGTGGCTATTATCAAAACAAGCACTTACAGAGACGACCCGTTGCCCTTTCATTCTTGCTTTAGTTTCGCACTGGGCCGATGCTTGCCTGGGCCCACAGTTGATGTTCCTGCAAGCCTACTCGGCTGCCGTAGCCCCATCGGTATGACCCGGCAGCAGAGAAAACAGTCTCATTGACAGAGCGCTTGCCGTACAAACAACTATACGATTATAAATAGAGACGGCGCCTCAGAGCGCGCTAGTGAACTGTTGTCCTATTAAGCACAGCTTTGTGCAGTTGTTCGACTTGTGCGCGCGCTCTGGATGCTCTGGCGCTAATGCATGGCAGCCGGCCGGCCGGCAGCAAGGCTCGTTCTATGCGACGCCAGTTGTCGTTTTGCAATCATTTGGCGCTGCGGCAGCGTTAACGTATGGTACCGGCGGCAAAATGCCCGCTGTAGCGCAGCATCCATAAAGCGCGCCGTTGAGGCCTACTCCGTTTGCAACTACCAACAATTACAAACAATATCGATCATTAGATCAACTCCTGGAACGTAAACGACCCAGGGCGAATTGCGAGAGTTTCACAGGATAGTTACAAATAGTTAGATGGTCTCAAAATGTTCGCGCTTTACCATTACCTTGTGGTGGCAAGGCTTTCGGATAAAAGGCGCGGTATCTTGAATAGAGACAAAAAGCAAAACGCGGAAGTGACTCAAGAATAAAAAAGGCTGATTCGCTCGCACTGGAAGACGCCGAGGTATCAATGCCAAGATCCGCGTGCAGTCTCTGCTATGAGAAATAATACCTATACATACACCCCTGCATCCAGTCGGATAAGACGCTGATACCAATATGTTCATCTTATAATCTGTTTTACTTACATCAGTACCTAAGAAAAAAGGACAGAAAATAAGTGAGTCGTAGTATCGTCCGATTTCCTTCCACATTATATGTCGTATATATACGCGGTCACTCGCGCGGAGACAAAATCCTTTTTGGGTGGGGCAGTTTCAAAGGTGCTAACGCTCCGATCACTCCGGACGGAGAGAATCGTGCACCGACTACTATTTATATATAAAGAATGTACTGTAGATCGATGTGTACAGTTCGTTCGGAGATCACAATATGCTCTCTTCCACCATCTCTCGCAATCTGTACCCACTCCATTAGTCAGCCGTCTATCTCGTGCGTACGAAATGTTTTTCAAGCATTTTTATTAATTCACGCTCAGTCACTAGCTTTACATGCACCCTAATATATAGTCGGTGGTCGTCCGATATTACTTTCTTTTCCCCTGCACGACTTAGTAATAGTTGAATAAGCTTGCAAGCTTTCTATAATATCTCTGTACAATATATCCTTGCAGTGCAACATACCATGGTCGTCTGTAATGAGTGCTCCGGTGATCGACAAAACTGGTCGAGAAGAACACAAGATCAAAAAGCACGCACAAATAGCACAAAAATATAATGAAGATGCACACACAACTCTGTTCTTCAGTACACACTGCCGTCGCAGTGAGGAATTACCGGTGGCTTTCCACTCCTGCAGATTGCCGCGCCTCCGCGAACGAACGCACCACAGCAGCCCAAACTGAAACCACCGTCCGCCACCAATCTGCGGTGACTGCAACGCTTCTCAAGCTAATGCAATGGGCCTCCCGACAACGAGCTACTGTCATGGCCAGCGGGAAAGGAAGTCGGGTCAAAGTGTTTTTTTTCGGGTTTTGCACTGATCCTCGCGTAGTTTATTGTAGATTGTTCGTACAATAGGCTGGATAAATTACTCGAGAATAGCCGCTTGTATAAAATATTCACACGGTCTCAAGTAAAGGTAAGCATTCGCTTAATCTTTGAATTGACGCACATTCAAATTTGGCGCGCTATGTGCTAACGGCTAATTCGTTTCATGTAAGAAAACTCAATTTCAATCTTGCAGACTTTTAGGGCGAAATTTTATACTCCTCTAGTCCATCTGATAATTTGCCTAGGCTCAAGTTTAGAGAACTTTTGAAGATTTTGGAAAAATTGCATATAAACATTGGCGTCGTCTGCATCGAAACCACTGGTAGCGCGGCAGAGCTGATGAGCGCGTACCCGACAGTTTTGAAAAACTTGGTGTCGAAATATTTCAGCCGTTTGCGATCCGTTAGTGACTAATCAATCGTAGTTCTTATTCAGTAAGTTTCTCTGCCAGCGGTGGAGTGCCTGTGTGGACTTGAACGTGTGTGGTGGTACCTCTAGGAAGCAGTGCCTGCTGATACAAGCATTAGATATCAGTTGTTTGTACCTTCAAACAGCTCTGTCATCATGGCCTCAAACGACATCTGGTACAGCGAGAAGTACTTCGACGAGATGTTTGAGTACCGACATGTCGTTCTGCCGAAAGAGATTGCCGCTCGAGTGCCTCGGACCCATCTCATGTCTGAGTCGGAATGGCGAAATATCGGTGTGCAGCAGAGTCACGGCTGGGTTCATTATATGATCCACGAACCGGAGCCACACATCTTGCTGTTCCGTCGGCCACTACCTCAAGGGAAAAAACCGGCAAGCCAGGAAGAACAAGTTCGCAACGATATCGAGAGCTACTAAAACGACCGCCCGTAATTAACCGACAGGACGGTTTACTTTATCCGCCTGTCCTTCACATAATGCCGGCACAGTACCATCACATCCGCAAACTTTTGCGCGTCTCTTTCTCTTCATAAAGTGACACCACCTTGGTTACAGTGGATTTGAACTGGAAGTGAGAAAGGAAGGTTTTTCTCTCGAAAAACAACGAAAAACATTAATACGATGCGAGGAAGTGATGATCGACGAGGAACTTCCGTTGTCCAGCAGCTGTGAGCGGTGAGCTCGGGGCACCAGCCGCGCTCTCATTGGAGTAGTTGTTGACCAGTTGCGTATTTTGAAGCTATAATCATGGAGTTTATCACTGCTGAACAAAAACGAAATCTTATATGCTGAAGGGGCGAGCAACGTCCGTGACAACGAACGTGGAGAAGGATGTGAAGAATTGAAGTTATGACTATTTTTCCCGTATTTTACGTTGCCAATATAATAAAAAGCAACCCAAAAGAACGAACGAAGGCCGGGCTTGATCGAGGTTCCCTGTCCTTGTACAGGTGCACGTTCATCGATCGCCTCCATCTATAAAAGCAATTAGCATATTGCTATCATTATTATTATTATTATTATTATAAGCTGTATTACTGATAACGACATAAGGGTGGGCAGGAAAAAGGTATCTTCATTCTATGATATGATGACTATGATGTGTGCGGCGACATCATGACGGTGGTATTACTTCACCACAGTAGAGGATCGAAGCTAAAAAGTACATTGTTTGAGATGATCACGTCCACGTCTACATGGTGTGACTGATATTTCGCTTCGCATCCATTGCATCCATTTTGCAGGCTGACCCTGCGAGTAGACATAACCCCACATCATATTAGAAACTAATGGACAAGATTATGGACAATATTTTTATTCCCTAAGCGGAATTTTAGCGTCGGATTTGTACATTGCAGAGTAATATGGTGGTGCCTAAATAATACCGAAGGTCATAATCAAGGTAAAAAAATAATACCAAAGGTCATAATCAAGGTAAAATTAATGACGATGTACGGAAGCACCAATCACAGTTATTTCAATGCATATTCATAGACGTGACAATGCGTTGCACGATAGTGAAAGATGGCCAAGTCCCCCTCGCCATGGCAAAATATTACGCCATGATTCCATACATTTGTTTACATATGATTGTTTTTCCATTTCGTGTATCATTATAATAATAAAAATTCTCAAGTGGTGATATATTATAATTCATGCGAGCTATTCATTATAGTGTGGATAACAAGATTAACATTATAACGTCGATAACAAAATAGAAGTATCGTTCTTTGATTCTATTTATGACTCTAGAGGAACCCGATTGGGATAAAAAAGGGGCGGTATCAGTAAGTTTAATATTGATAATATAATATAGACGTGAAAATCTTAGAAAAACTTAAAATTCCAGTAGTAGATGCAAACAAAAATGTCGCTCCTCGCTCATTGTTAGAATGGAATGATATTTAGGAAGTAGCTAGTGTGGTATAGGATCTGTGATTAAAAAAAGCTCCAAAATAACCAATCAAAAGCTTCGTATTTTCTCCACGGTGTGTGATTATGCTTGTTATTCCTTTGGCAGAGTTGGTAGGAATAAGCGTTTGTTTGCTGTAGTTGATCGCTAATTCTTGTTTGTGGTAGAGGTCTGATAGTGGGAGGTAATTCATAAACTTTTATACTGAGCATCTTCATAAAACAGGTAGATAACATTAAAGATATATCAGACTGGTTGGCGAGAAATGCACAATGACGACGGGTTGCAGAAACACTGTTGCAGATTCTTCAATTCATTTAACCAGTGCTAACAATAGGTGACAACGTATCGATTTTGCGATTTTCGTAATTAAATATAAACCACATAGATTGTTGCATAACGAAACTAAAGCAGCAGACGATAAACCTACCACACTTGCAGTGGAAGCAAAATATAAAATAAAGATCCCTTGTAAATTGCTTAACATTGACCACGTCTCGTTAATTCCTTATTAGATTATTTTACACAAACGCATTGTAGTTCTATTAAACAATGAATTTACATTACATTATAGTAACTTACCAATGTACATTCTCTAGTTTCCTAGTCAGCCTAGATTGTAACAAGGCTATACTAGACATAGGCTAACTAGAAGTATTGTACTGTTTGTGTATAACTATTAAAGTGTTTTTTTTAAATAATTTGATATATTTATAAAAAATTTTATAATTATAAGGTGATCCCAAATAGGACTTTTGTTATTATTTGATATTTTGATTATTTGTTCATTGTTAAAGTCTATCGGATATTCAGTGTATCAATTACGAACAAGCTAAAAACGCACATCACTGTGGGATACCAGCTTATCATCCTCCCTACATGACATCTTCGTGATATTTAGGAGTTGAATCCATGGCTTCGTTGTATTTCAGAACAGTCCAAAGAAGTGATGTTGGTGATGCAATCCGATTTTAGAGCTACAAAGGCATACGAAAATATTTGATATGCTTCTTCTTTTTTATCTCCGGTAATGCAAATAACATACTGCGTTAAGTTCATTCGAATGATGTGCGGATATGCAATATTATACTCAGCAAAACTTGAAGTATTAAGCGTACTTGAGAGTGCCAAGATTAGTGTCGAGATTTTTTAGACATTTTAAACGCGAGATAGGTACTTAGTTGTTTAAATCAAAATTACTTAGCTATTTTTTAAAAGTAAATAAAGCGAAACAATTAAATTAAAATAAGCAGTTCAGTTATAATGTCTTTAATTGCTGGATGAATTTTAATGCAAAGTAGTTAACGATGCGATTCCAAGCCAAGAGAATAGGATTCTTCGAAGACTGCTGCTCTTCATTCAGATCAGGGTTTTTGCTGCCACAAAATTTGTCCATATTAGTATTTAGATATATCAAAATTCGCATTGGTTAACCTCAAGAAAGTTCGTCTTCTGAACAATGGTTTGCTATATTAAACAGTAATTATGTCGTGGTATCATAAGTTGATACGATATGCATTTGTCGGGGACAGGAAGACTTGGAAAAGGCAGGTCTCCGCATTGTTGATATGCATTAGTCGATTGCAGTTCTTTATATTAAAATAGCTGTTATTGTAAAAATAACTACATTGTACAAGTCAACAGCAAGCAGGCAGTAATACTAGTCATCAGCATACTGTAAAGCAATCAATTTGTGCTTACGGGAACATTTTACTGCATGTGACTGCCAAGACATATCAATGGGAATCATTTGATATTTACACGAAGAGCAACAGCTGACTTAACCTAATGATCAGGCTTACAGTAATACTACAACGCACGAGCGACACGAATGTGTGTCGACGCTGTCGAACGATTTCAGTTTGTCGCATCGATGAATCATCGCATTTTCGCCTACTCTGCGCAGTAGATACATTTGCAGCGAATTGCTCTATTACAACAAAAGGTACCGGTGTTTTGTACATATACTCTGTCCGGCAAGCAACACAGAAATGGTTGCGTTTTTTATTAGCTAAACGCGATATCTACTAAGTATAGTGCGCAATTTCTTGCTGCGACTCGGGTGCACCGGTGCATTGTGTGAAACGAACGAGAATAGCGACCGGGGGGGGCCTTTGGTTTGTCTGGCTGAAACAGCCTATTCGGCTTGTCGGTTTAACCGATCTCAGTCCTTTAACTGGCTGATTTCGGTTGAATCACAGCTGCCATTCTGCTACCCCTTGAGTTGTCCTTCTATCGCCAACCTCTCTAGTACCGCATCTCCTCAGCTCTCTCTGCTTAGGTCGCGGCGCCTCGGCGTCACCTTCTGGCGCTGCCAAAACGCCGATGTCTCTTTTCTGTTAGCTTCGTTCTGCAGGAGTCTGCATATGCCTGCTAGCTAGAGAAATGCGCATAAGCCTATAGTCATGGTCGCCCGATAAACAAGAGATGGGAAAAGGGGTAGGGGTCTATGTAATAGACGGAAAAAACTGTCAGGTGACGCCACGACTTTTACAGAGGGATGCCTCAGAGAAGCGATGACAAGGCAGCTGATAGCTGAACAGACGACGCAAACACTCACCTTCTAAAAATCTGTTTCGTGTATTTTGACTGGACTGGTTATTGTGGTCTATTTGAAAAAACGCATACAGAGACCCATTGCACGACGAATTAGGGTACTCACTTGTCTGTGCATATCGCATTCGAATACAAAAGTTGGCCGTCAGATGACGAGCGGTGCGAATAGAATATATGTTCATTCGTATGTATTATAGTAAGTAGAACATTACCCCATTCGGTACCTTGAGTACGTAATAGAATAGCGCATTAATTATTACCCCATTCGGTACCTTGAGTACGTAACAGAATAGCGCATTAATTATAAAAAGAGATCGTTTCATGGCTAATAATAAAGGTGTAACCTACATCGAAGAGGATTAGCCAGTGTTGGTTTATCTGAAAAAAACCGAGTTCGCTCCTGTAACTGGCAGACTGTCTTCGTTTGGTCCGTGTATGATTGCACAGAGAGGTGGCGTACCAAAAACGTGAAACCACTAAGTTTAGTAGACAATATGCATAAAGTTGAAGATAATTTTTAATTGCAAAGCTAACATAGTATAACAAGCTAATAATAGTATAAACCGTAATGGATGTAAATAAGCTACACCAACAGATTTTAACGTGCTTAACATCAGAACTGTTCTTCCGGTGTCAAACGTTTACTATAACTTTTGCTCACTTGTTAAGAACCATTTGCATAACCAATTTTTCATTCAGTGCACATACATTTCTGTTCTTAGAAACCGTTAACAAAGCTTGAATCATAGATATTCGGGTGTATTTCCAAAAAGTGATGTTCGAACTTCTTATGGCTTCAGGTGATCGAGATTAACACATAATCACTTACTAGCCATATGGCTTTATTCATGATAACACTACTGGAACTCAATCGTTTGAAACTTGTTGACGGTTTCACTTTTTTTCTAGTTTTATATTCATATCCAGAAAGTTTTTTTTTTTTTTTTTTATATATATGTGAGCTTGTGGAATGATGAAATTGTATGAGGTAATTTATGAACGTCGTCGTGATGGTGCAGTGGTAACCTATTTGTATGCTAAATTTAGGAACACTTAGTGATCAACGCTCAATCTCGAGCACAGACAACTGTCTGATGTAATATTTAAAGGCAGTACCGATCGTAAAATTCGGATGAGGGGCTAACAATAAAAGTTCTATATTGATCTACAGTACAAATAGCAATGGTGGCGTTGAAATTATTTGAAATGCACTTACAGCCAATGTTAGTTAAATTAGTTAAGAAGTGATGTTTCAATTTAATGTTTTGCGAATGTTTTATTTAACGCATTTGCCGGCAAGGACATTTCCTGATTCGACTTAAGATTGACTGCGGGAACCCTTAGCCTGGCTGTGAACGACTATGCGATTACCATGAAGAGCAGCGAACTATGCATTACTCGATGACATTGCAAATATTTTCCTGACAGACTTTGGTGACTGGTGCTCTATATGCATTTGCCAATTTCAAATTGGCATAATTCAATAGTACTTACGCAATTTCAAACGGAACGTTCAGAACTTGACTACTGGTCAAGCTGTCAAACTGAAATAGAAACGCGAATAGAAACAACGTACCTGAATCCAATGCTTCTCTAAATGAAGATTCTTACAGTGATCTATCGATTTCTCGTCAACCTCTTAGCTTAATATTTCGCTCACTATCGTTGCAGGCTGATTTGAAAATGGCGCGCTTTTTTATAGCAAGTATGCAGATCTTTATGCTGTAGGCTATCTTTGTCTTGTGTCAGCAATGATATTTTGCTATCGTAGAACCGAACGGGAAGCAAAATCTAACGATATTACTAGCGACGAAGTAGACGACGAAGAGCAGCTAGAAAACGGTGACGTCGCTCAGAGCGAGAATTTGCTGGCAATATTGTATTGGAGAAAATTGGTTTCAGTTTATAATATTTTTCTTCGACCATGCGTCAATTGCTCATTAATGAAAAGCGTTCTTAACAGGATGTAAAAACACAAGCACAAGACGACGTCTGTGCTTGTTTTATAACATAATCATAGTGTGCTTTGCAATAAGCCGAGCATGCTACTCGAAGCCATTGGAGATTCACGATGTCGCATTAAGGACCCCGACAAAACTGGGAGCGCGATACCTTCACCTCGAATACTATACATTATACTGGCTGTCAGTACGCTACCTGACATAGACGTCGAAAAAGACCCCTTAGAACTGCGAATACACTGCAAATTAAACGTGCTCTTGCAAACAACCGTTTCCAAGGTTCTACCAAAGTTTATCAAAAACATAAAGGTACATTAGACTGATTTATCATAAGGTGTTATTCTTTAATCAATGTAAGTGATTCTTATGATCTATTTATTTCTCTGTCAATATTGTTTCTCATACAAGTGCTATTCCTAAAGATAGATTCATTCACTGTCATCGATTTTATTCTGGTAAACGTAACCTTTACTGTCCGTCCCGATTTCGACGTCGACTTCTTTACACAGATAACTATATCTTCGCTTAATGCCCTAGATATTTAAGAACTGGTTTCGTTATGAGTTATGTAAAAATTGAATTTGTATTTCCTGTGTGAGGAACATCCCTAATGTCGTTTCTTCTTTCGCCACCTAGCATGAGGTTGTATAAATTCTTACTCAGAATTTTGGGTTGCCGCAGGAAATTTATGGATCAACCCAAACCATGTTACTGTCCCTACACTGGTTAAGTGGCTTTGGTTATTCTTGGCCACGAGGATAGCATACGTCGGTGCGTAAGTATATATAAAAATCATCGTTAATATCTTTAGAGCTTAGCAATTTGGATTGGACTGCCAATCATTTTTGATGTCGTCTTTCTGCACGGTGTCGTCGACCAGACAACTAATATACCGTAGTCGGTTCTGTCTATGTCGACCCTGAATAACATCGGAAGAAACTCCAAGCCGCACGCAATTACACTGAATGAGGTTCAAGACTTGGCAGCTTTGATAGGACAGAGGGGACCGCGTGACGGAATGGGGTAACCTTTCCCAAATGAGCTACGAGGAACAGTTCAATGTTGCCTCGGATAGCTTGGGTTAATCGCAAACTTTTTTCTTCTTTACATCAATCAACATACGGAACACCGTATCACAGCTTTACAGCGGTATTGTGTTTACTATATTTCTCTTAGGCCAGGATTGTCATTTATCACCAGCGATAAGTCCCTACAATAAGGGCTCGGAACGCGATTGACGATGACATCGCCCGTGCACGATTGTTGTTTGTATAGAATTTTTTAGCGTAATGCGTTTTCGTTCAGTTGATGGTACCGTTAACATTGTAATTATGTTTTAAAGGGGAAAGATTTACTCTTAGATTTGACGATGCCACGATGTAACAGGTCCGCCGATTTTGGATTCCTGCCCCGTCAAAGCTGAGATCCGCGTGCAATCATTAGATTGTCCTGTTCAGAGTTTGTGTTGGAGGCTGTATAAGGGCATCACATACATGTGCGTGAGGTTGCGACAAATTATTTCAGATTTGTACAAAGGAAAATTTGATTGTGCACGTTTAATTTACATTTTAGATAATGCTGCCTTTTGCACGATTTTCTTCAATTTTCGTTAACAATACAAATAAAAAAAAAAAAAAAGTAAAGCTACATTTAAATATTTTACGCGTTCGATCAAACGATTTGGATTGTAGGTTTTATTCCAGGCTGTTTGAAGCTACCAAATGCATTACTGATAATAACCTTAAGTGCATCTTGTTCGAGCTTTTCTTGATGAGACCCAAAAAAAAAAAGACACCGATTCAGTTCGTATTTAACAGAATAACATTTCTCAAAACGTTATCATGTGACACGTGATATTAATCAGTCATGTTAGCAAATAGCGAACAAATATGTGTACTTTGAAACAATGTTTATGTTATAAACGATCGGTATTTTTGTTCACTAGCACGTAACAACAAAATAATTGTAAAGCTTTGCACTCTCTCTGATGATAGGCGATTCGTCTCAAATAGTGCTGAATTGGCCAACATCGTCTTACATGGAACCCCATGGGGGCACTGGGTGTAAACGATGTAAAAAATCATACATAGCTAAATATATACGAAATTCACATAGTTTTTTCCATAAGAATGCCAAGATAAATTTCGCCATCTTCGAGCTTTCCAACATATACTAGTTGGTACGAATTAATTTTATTATTAACCATTAGTAATCTTGTTAACCGCAGTACTAAAAGCGCATTCCGCCTGTCGAGGCAGGTTCAGAAGCAGGCTGTTAAACCTGAATTCGTATTCTCATTCACTGTAGGTAGTTGGCCTTTTAGGAAAATGCTCATCTACACACACAAGCTAGCTGATAAACAGAATGTTAACTGAATTGCCTCTAACTTTGTTCACCTAGGCCACCTTATTTGAGGCCGAACATCAGAGAAATTCCAAGCATACTCAAGATAGGCGCCGAGAAGTGTCGCCGTGAGTCACTTGTTGACACAAATCGACGTTAGCTCAACGGCAAAGAGGGACTCGCGGCGGTGCAGGTAATGGTAATTTATTCATTGTGTTGCCACTGCCAAACGAAAACGAAGTAGCGTGAATATAGCCGAGACAAACTGATTATGTCATGTTTTATTAACTTCTAGAAACTGACCACATCAGAAACTGCAACGCTTAAAATACAAGACGAAGTTCTGCAGGAGTTGAAACACTAAAAATAGCAGTATATTTCATCTCGTGTGTAGCTGCTGCAGATGCCAAAAAACTACATAAATTAATGTTTAGTAATGTTGTATTTGGACGTCTTCTAGAGAACTGTTCACCAGCAGCTTTTTAGCCAATTAGCTGGTTAGAGTTTCGATTTATATGTTTTGCTAGAGAGGTACACGCATATACATTGGTAAGTAGAGGCGCAAGCATAGTTCAGGCTCTAAATGTTTGTATGTGTACATATCTGACCATAATGGACCGGTTCATGTAGCCAATAATTGCTGAAGCAGGGAGGGGATACCGACTAAGAAAAAGCCAACACAAAAGCTTGTGTCGTATATACATAGTTTTTTTTTCTTTGTATAGCGAATTGTCAGTTACCTATTGAATGTTTGGACGGCTATGGTTTTATTTTCCCACATTTGTCTACGTAGTACGCATTTCCAGGGATGGCGTTCGCTGATTTTAACCATTTTGTTTGGATTCGAGTTAATGACCATTAGCTATTAGGTTGACACATTTCGTAGAACTTTCTGTAAGTTGATTCTACCACCGGTAGACTAGATGAAAACAAAGAAATTCGCTGCGTACAGTAAACCGAAACGGCAAACTTATCGCATTTATCGGCGGACTTTAGGCAGGAGCAGACGACGAGCTCTACGATTAGTATTGAACAGGCTAAATAAAATATTATAGTGTGTATGAAGTAAAAGTAAGCATATGATCGACATGAGGAGATGCCCTTGAGGACTAAGGTATTATTAACCTTACTTCAATCAGTGTGGCAAACCAGTGGCACCTCTCGTTAGACGTTACCACAAACTACTCAAAATTACAGGTCTTGAATAAATGTCTCGCGGTACTAAAGGATGACAATTACTCAGCGAAATGCTGCCGCGCCGATAATGAAAAGTGAATCGAGTAGACCCTAGAGAAAATATTACCGTAAATGCGCATATTTAAACAAAATAATAAATAAACCAAGATCAATGCGACTGTGAGGTAGGCTACTGAGTCCTCTACAACCATTTATCAGACGGAAACAAAAGTACTAATGATGCAGCTAGAGAGTAGTAAATCGCGCGCTAGAGTACCTTTGTCGACTACCGTCGACTACATGCTGATCATACGTAACAACAAAAACACACCTTTTTCCATCTTATTTATTGACGTAGAAACACAGACGCGCACAATAAAAGATATGTAATCATTATATATATACGTTCTAGTGGTCGAGTTTACAATTTACCATAGACGTTTTCTGAATGTTGGACGTTGTAAATGCGAGCTCTAACGGCGAACAGAGCCATTTTTCCGCCAAGATTGACACCTGTGTAACTGTTTTCTGCAATCAGTGAGCACTTTTGATATTCGTTCCGCGCAAGGTGGCCAGCAACGCCCTTTTGGTATTGCGTACGAATTTCTTATTCTGTTTGTGTGCATCTTGCCAGTTTCCCATCACAGCATGGTTTTTCTTATTCTCCAGCAAATCTTACTCTTTGATAATGCACAGTGTATAACGTTATTCTGTCCTGCGTCCAATTTATACGGCACTCTCATAGGAAATATCACAGAGCAAATACCCATTGAAGCTGTTTTCGTTAGCGTGATAATGGATGGCTACCGGCGACAGACACTTTTGTTGTTTGTTATGCAACGGTCCAAGGCTACGCTAATAGCTCATACCTATCGGGGTATCAAGACTTCAAGCTTTGCCCGATCTGTTGACGAAGCATATGCGGAGTGGTCCAGATTGTCGTGTTCATTTGCGCATAACCTAAAGGCTAGCATTGTGAGGAACATGTAGCTATCTCTTTGGTCAATATGTGAATCTCTCAGACGAGTGATGATTGTCAAACGACAAATGAAACGTTAATCGTTTAGTATATTGGCAACGAATTTACCGCTAAGCGGGATGTACATCGAGTGTGGATATGATCTTGTAAAAGTTTTGTATGCGTCCCTAGATGTTTGCCAGGAAATAAAAACGAACAAAAAAATGGATTAGATATTCTTCATTTAATTGATTCGAGTACATTCTGTCCCTAAAAACCGGTTTGTAATGTCGAAGTTAAATACAAAAGCTTCCAAAAGGATCCAACTATCAAGATCAAGCGAATATTGTAAAAAAAACCTGCAATGGAACAGACAATATTTGTAGAATGTATAAGTCTAGTGTTACTCAGCTAATATCTCTAAACGAATGTATGCTAAACATTAAAAAAAAATTCCAAATTTGGCTTTCATCGACGATCCTAAAAACTAATAGTAAGCAAAAATTGCAGTATTTTTTAAAAGGCTTATCCAATCCTATGTAAAATAGGGTTAACGAGAATGCTATAAATTATCGTTCTTTAATTTCGCACAGAAATACTGAAACGTTATTAGCTCCTAGTACTCCTACAAAAGGAACTGGCTAGTCTTATTTAGAATACGCCTAAAATTAAAAACGGTGTATATAACGACGGGTATTAGATTATAGCATAATAGTGCTTATTAGCTACTTGCTTATATGCTAAAACACTTCCCCCTAGCTAGTGGAAACCACACTATAAAAATACCGAAATGAGACTGGGTCTCGTCGCAGGCTTGCCGTTTACATTAGTGATCTCTGTTTTACAAACAATATTTTACGCCAGATATATATATATGTACATATCATCTTCTCCCTTAGGTAACAGAGACAAGAAACAAGGGTTTTATAAAGTTCAGTTTATGTTTTTAGCAAAAACGAGTCCAGCAACGGTAACATGAACCCAGCCGGCGCCGTCATCTGCCTATCGCTTGAATCGCTGATCGATTTTAATATATATATATACATATATATATATATATCGAAAAATACAAAATAGAAATATACTGAACGTGTTGCAGACTCCGCCAGTTGTCGGTCAGCAAGGGCCACTTTTTTTTTAAAACTGGACGTATAGTTAAGAACGTGTGTTCCTCTTTTGTGTGCCTATACCTGAAATGGTTAATTTTGCAAAATCTATCTAGCACTATCAGGAACCGCTCCGACGTTCTTTAAGGATTATTGTGTGTAGTTCACAAGCATCGTAAGCCGTTATCACTGTGCATTTAACTTAGGTCGAGATGGTGGCTTAACACAGGTTAACGTATCTAAGCATATATTCCAGTATAGTATAGTATAAACGATATTTCTATTTTCTCAAACGTTCAGATATCCTCGGCAGAGCAAGTACTAAAAGCTTTTTAGCAAATGCTTAACTTTTGAGGTTCTAGCTTCGAACTTCGCAAGGAATCTAACTTTTTTATAAGCATTCTAACACCGTTAACTGGTATGTAAAGACATCTTTCGGAAAAATCTGCACGATTTTTATCTGGCAGCTCTCATTTTGGCTTGTGAATCTGTTTCAACCAAATATGAATCGTTTTTAAGTGAGAATTGTCGACTTGTTCGTCAAGTAATAGCAGTGATTTATTCCATACCCACGAACATTTGTTTGATCAGTTGCTCTATCTAGTCCACATACAAATCGATGCTATATTTGTTTTCGGATCGTCACGCCTCAAATAAAAACATCAAATGAGCAAACCGCTTCTGATAACCTTGCATTCTGTGTTTGATAGGAAAGATACTTACTGTAAATGGATTTGAAACCCGAAACGACAACAAGCTTTGGACAAATTCAAGTGGTAACAATGGTAGCTATAAATGCCATATACAGTAATGTCTCCTTGCCGTATTCATAAATGTATGCCTTAATTCGGTTTGTGTCGCCCATCATTTACTCTATCTGCTTCTTTTCCGGTTTCCTTCTTCGAACTGGAAAGGGACGTCCTAAGAGTGTATTGGACAGAGACAAATTCGGATACAAATGAATGATGATGAGGCATAGCTAAATATAAGCATACAAAGGGGTGCATTTTTACTAGACCTATTTTGGCGTCATCTCACGGGAAGAGGAACACACAACAGGCCTTAACATGCCGTCGATTTAGCCTGAAAGCGTTACGCTAACATAGCTGAATGACTAATTGCTAGCCTTTAGGATGCGATCTGACAAGAAGGCTGGCTTCCGCCCTCAAGAAGGATCTTTTTTTACCTTGCCATAGATAGCTTCAGCGAATAGTACACTTCTTCAACTGGGTAATATCTGCTTCCTGTCTGTCAGCCAGCTTAGTGGTCCCTGACCAAATGTCATTTATGTGTGTATCGACAAGTAGGTTTTTTGAAGCAAGCTGTTTTTGAGCCTTTCAATAACTTGACAGTGGTATTGGCAAGACTGATGCTGGATTAGTTTGGTGACGACCCACTAACGGTCTGTAACCAGAGCAGCGCAGGAGATTGCAGGCGGTTCACGCCGGTCCTCAAGAATCTCTATGATAATAGCATTTTAGCTTTACTTTTCGTTGTGTTTTTTGTGATTGCTATTTGCTATGGAAAGTACCGTTGCAGTCATTTACTTCAGCTACCACCTTCCAAGCAATGTTCGTCATGTGAGATATTGCAAAGAGTTATGGATCCGCAGACGGTACAGGATTAATACGCAAGACAATTGCGAACGACAACGAAGTAGGTACATACATGTGTAACATATATTTGTGTTATGTATCGTTGGTATCTGCTACACAGAAATAACAACACATCCTCACACTCTCCGGATTGGCGATCTTAGTCAGAATTTATTTGCATTAAAATCAAACAAACTACTCAAACACTGACTGATAATCAGTTACTTTCTCGAGCACCAATAAAGAAAAGAAATGCGATAAGGGTGATGCGTGTGTATTTACAAAAGAAATACGCATAGAGAGGTTTATGTTAGGTCACAGGTATACACGAAACGTCTTTTGGAATAGGCATGGTGACAAGGAACGGATCAGTCCCGAGCACTACGAGATAAGGAAACATGAAATGAAAGTAAAATGTCTGCGTATCGTTAGAGATTATTTTCGTACGATACCAAAATTGTATCAGTGTGACAAAATGCTTTATGCTTGAATGACAGCGATCGAGAACAATGTTTTGAGACGACAGTGATTAGATGTCCGCTCCAGTGTGCACTAGCAGATGCATTCCTTCTTGTAGTTCGCTCACGATATTCTCCTTATTGACTGTGTTAGGCATACGGAACTCTGTCATTATGTCCGACTTCGTGTACACGGAACCGTCCTCATTGCGCTGCTCATGGGAGGCTACTACGTTAAGTTTGCCACCGTGTGTTCGTACCACAACCTCTTCAGGAGAGAACCCGGTTAGGTTGACCTTATACGTACTGGAGGGAAAGACGATATCGTCACGATCGACGTAACTGCCACCGTTGTCGATCTTGAGGATAGTCTCGGTATCGAGGAATCGCTCACACTCGGGATAATCTTGGAGAAACTCGTCCCACTCTTTAGACAGCTCATCCTTGCCTTCAATGAATCGTTCGGTCTCAAACACCTGCTCCTTGCACACCTCAGTAGCCTCTCGATATTTCATCAATGGAGCCATCTTCGCCGGCAGAATGTGTCTCACAGGATGATCACTAAGCTGGCGGCAAGCCAGAACTGTGCCAGAAGACTCCATTTATTCTAAATGCTATCCACCGAGTTCTGGTTCGCCCAACTTTAAATAATATCTTCCGTTTTCTGTCTCGTCAGGCAGAATACTGAGTTCTCCTCCGTAACTCCGTAATAACAGTAACTCTCTCTAGTTGTGTTTACACTTTCACAGTTCAAGTGTTTATGTTGTGCCCACACGGGCAGGACAACAAGTAATGAGACGTTCGGCGTTCGTGTTCCGTGGGAAAGGGCTAAACTGGAAGGCGACCTACAGAAAGTCATTACGCAGACTATTGCCACAGATTCTTGGCTTTGGCAGCATAGGGAAATATTCGTGCATGCCTTCATAAGCGTGCTTGTTGCGATGCAGTGTGCGCTCGGACGGACTGGCAAGCTTGCCAGCAATACCTAACACACAGGCCGCCTTCAAATGCCAAGTACGTTCGAGAGGTAGGTTTCCGAGTATTTCTCTCTCTCTCTATCTATCTATGTGTACCTCTATCTCTACCTCTCTCTCCTTTTTCGCGATGTCTCTATTCGTTTTGAAGAGCTAGTTCTCTCTCGATGACTTTCTAGCTACTGTTGGGAGCACGTAGTGTCTATGTATGCAGCATCTGTCTGTCGTATTTGTGCGGCGGCGGTGTTGGTGAGGTCACAGCGCGCAGCCGATGAGTCAAGGTCTCCGTCCTTTCCGCAACGAGCGACAGACACTTGGAAGTATTTAATAGGAGTAGCCGTAGCTGCAAGCTGTTGTCATTGTCAACATAGCTACATTGCGCCTACGGAGGACCTGCCGAACAATGCGGATCGGAAATACTCAGTAGATATAGGTGGAGAAGTGTCTGCTTATCCGTATGTTCGTGCGTGTGTGCTCCGCGAATTTAAGAGGAAAAACGCTGACGTGCGCCAGCGAGAGCGCGCTGTCCCGGAAGAATCATAGTGAATTCAGCGCTAGCTGATAGCGGATCGCACAACTAGGGTATCCCTACCAGGAGTGTCCAGAGTCATCGTTATAATGTGCACGCCACAGGGGGAATACTACGGAAATATGCATGGCATTATTAAATTTCCCCATTCCATGGTGGTTAGCTGGTATTACTGTGATGTCACTTTATTCCGAAGTGAAATCTTATTTGGTTGTCTCGGCGCGCTGATGCAAACTATCGGGTATACGGTACGAGAGCGGCATATCGTAACTAGAGGGACGAATACAGATTACAGATGCCAAGCAGGTACTGTCTGACATGCAATGGCGCATCAATCAGTCTACAGTTCGCTGCGAAGAGGGTGCAACTAGAGTTTCTTTATGTAACGAATAGTAAATGTATTATTATTATTATTATTATTAAATAAAGGACTGCACGGTCTTGTGTAGATATATCTTGGCAGGTGCTACGAGTTTCATTGTCGTATCGTGATTTTGTATCAGCTATAACAGAAAATAGTTAGTATTTGTTTCAAATCTGAGAAAATAATTAAATTCATTAGTGCTTACATATAAATTAATTTGCATTTTTGTTTTACAACTTGATAACTTTTCGGCATACGCCCTGTGTTTTTTCATAGGAATGTTCTATATGGCTCTGGACCTTCTACTAATTCCCAAGTCACGTATCCACTCTGGCTAACAATATCTATATACTTTGTCTGTACAGAAACATGGATTTCTCTATTTATTAGCAAATAAAATGCTTACCCTCTATAGACTTGTCTGCAACTGACGCTCAGTATGGACTAAGCAAAACGTCGAAACTCAACGACTGGCATCAAGGCGTCGATGCTGAATTTTCATCTATTCAAGCAACGTCGGTAATAAAGCTCACCGTGACAACCACCTAGAATATGTTACCGTTTTGACGAAGCAACTGATCAAGCAATCAATTGTTTGCCCTGACTTACATAGTTTTATGAATGACGCTGACTAAGCAGTATATGCTACCTTTGCGATTAAAGGACCTTGGTAAAACATTGTATCAACATAACATGTTATATGCTTAACTTAGGCAGAAGTTACCATTGATTCTCTCTAAACGTATTTAATAAGAACCGTAGTAGGGAGCATCGTACTTGGCGTACACTTGGCCTTTTTCCGTCAGGAATATTATCTTCGTTTCTGTTTAGAAATCTAGGATAGTAGACAGTGTGGCGGCCAACGAAGAGCCACGTCTTAGTAAATGAACTTCGAGTGTTATGACAATAATAACCGTAGGGTAAAAATGGGGATGCCACGATTGTTGACAACGACCAAGTCAAATTTACTCATTTCAGGTTCCTCACCTTTTACATTTACACCGTTCACTGTAATATACCAGCACATGTCAGAGATTTTTGTGATAATACAATTAATGAAGGAAATCGAGTTCAAAATCGAACCTCCTTTAGACTGTTCACCTTATGGGCAGCTTTTTTATGTTGTCTACCAAGGGGACAACCCTCACTTAATTCGTTCTTCAGAACTTTCGTATTACTACATGCATTTCTGCCTATCACCAGCAATAGCGGGGAAAGGTTTTGTCCACTTTGAAAGCTCTCTCGTCTAGACAGCGAAACATACTGTGTGAAGCTTCGTTTTGCGCACTAAAAGACCACTTTCCTAATTTGATAATAGCTCTCGTAATACCGGTGACAATGAAAAATAGTATGAAAGTTATTTAGAACCTACAAAATATAGCTGCTAAGTATGACCTAATCGGAGGGAACCTGAGAGAAAGCTAGATAGAAGGCCTCACTATTATTACTACTACAGCCGAACTGCAGAGATCGAGACGTGTTCATTCAGCTATACGTTAAGCTATCTTCGTAGAAATCTACCTGGTCAGAACACGCGCAAGTGAGTATCCTGGCTGATCTTCTGAGCCGAATATGCACGTTCTGACAACCGTGTACTACGTGTATTTCGATGACATCCTGAACATGCTACCAGCCATATGTCAGTTCCTCGCTTTTGTCGTGATAATGGTTCTGCTAAACTGACAAGTGCCGCTTTGGGAGACGGTGCTATATTGGTTATTTGTATTAAGCCAAACTCATAACCCGATATCGCAGTTTTTCTAGTATAAGGGTATATTGTTAACTGGTAACTATATAGGCCGAAAGGGTCGTTCAATATAAACATTAGTTAAGTGTAACGTGGTTTTTGTTTTTGGTAGCATTTTAAACGTTCGGATCGTAGAATTGGAGAAGAATTGAACACTGACAAGGTCCCTCAGCGGTGCGCAACATTTGATTCCAGATAGATCGAATGAACTTAAGTTGAAGATAAAGCCAAAAACAGTACATTAAAGGTCCAAAGAGACCATACAGGACAAAAAAAAATACATGATTAGACGCTTCAGGAAATAAAATTTGCTTGGCGCCATTGGATATCCAATTCACTTCTGTTGAACTTGAAGTATTTCTGGATGTATAACATTCGGAAAATATAATAGAAATCGCTTTGGGTACTCTGATAAAATTCATGCTTCTTTAACATTTTTTTAGATTATTCTCTAGTGTACTTCGTAACCAGTATCGTTCCTGAATGCAAGCGATACATCAGATCTCATCGAAAAGTTCGATTTGTACTACGCTGGCAGATGATTTGCTTTACTAGATTACAATGCAGTGCTATACCCACCGGAAGAAGGGGAGTACCTTCAGCTGTTCAGTGTTTACTTAAACGCTTATACCGAAATTTGATTTTTAGGGTATGAAAGTAATATCCAAATCCATTACTCGGTCTCGTGCCCCAAGAAGTATATAAATACTAGTTTCGATACTGTATATCAAAGGCTGGATTAGATACGATATCGTTGAACGCATCGTGTCCCAATGCGCAGACATGACTTTGGCGTCAACTGTACAGCGAGGAACCATTTCCTATTTTAGAGCTTACAATCGATCTTAAATAAGTTTTCTATTTGCGACGTGAAATATCAATGTAAATTATACTTAAATATTATTAATTACTCAATGATTACTCAATGTTACAATAGTTTTGCCTTTTCCTAGTGCAAATTCATCCACCTAGGTTGACCAAATTATCAGCACAGAATGTTGCAGCACAGTTAGAAAAGACAAATTCGTCAGTCGTAACAACTTGATGATTTAATGGACAACCGGGTGTAAAAGTAGTGCAGCGCTTTACCATATTGGTAGCGGTGTGTTTCAAGTAAATCTTGCCGAAACACGGTGGGGTGACACTGGCGACATTATTCAAAGCCCCCGTTTCTCATACATTAAATGACTCCGGCCTATTGCTACAATAGGGCAAACTGGTTCATATAGCGGCGTCGTTCTTTTCTCGTGTTCGACGTTATTGGAAGGAAACGATTGGACTTTGAATGCTTTTGAATTCGAATAGACCAACGTTCATCATCGGAGGGCGGGAAGCTATTCCACACGAATCTCCGTGGCAGGAATCAGTTCAGGCGGACAACAACAAGGTATCCTAGTCATACAATTGTGGTGGAACAATGGACATTCACTGCTGCTCACTGCCTCACTGCTCCGACATATCCACACTGTCTATGGGTCGCTATGGGAAAGCACAGCTATTGACGACCCTCGCCAGGTTCACGGAATGGTAGCACAAACCTTCCAGCATCCCATTTGTTAGATTCGAAAATTAGTTTCGATTTTGACCCCTTTGACCTCATCTTACTATAAGCGGTGGACAAATTACACCTGTATGCCTGCCGTTCAGTAATGATTTTAAGCCATTTAATGACCTATAATTCGTTGTTTCAGGCAGCGGACGTTCTGATGGAACTTTCAATGCAGCCAGTAAACTACCAGAAATGTTGTGCCATGCACGAACACAGATGCATGTTTAGCCTTGATAAAAATATGTGGCTTAAGTGCCTTCAATTTTGGTGACTCCGGAGGTGCTCTGCAGTATTTACGAGATGGGCGATACGTTTTGGTGGGCAGTGTTACCAGACGTTACGCATGGTATCTGCACTCTACGGTAGATCAAGTGAGGCGAGCGCTAGGATCGACCGGGTGTGCGCTCCCGAACATTGGTAAACTTCGAAAAAGTTGAGTTCAAATCAAATTAATAACGATGTTAAAGTACAATAACAGAGAGATGCATTTCGGAGCTGTGCGGCTGCCAATATTGATTTACGATTTCTCTAGGTGCCGTTATGCTTAATTTCTGTTAAAGTGAATGTATCTGATAGTTTCGTGCGGCAAAAGAATCTTGGATGAAGGATTTTTAAAAACGTAGTCCGGTTATTTTGACCTACGTGTCTTAGGTGCGAGGCTGGACAACAACCTACCTTGGGTTTCCTACTTAATTAGCGCTTTTACTGCCATACACCTTTGAGTTACAACAGCTTTTCCTAGTTTTAGTATGAGCACGATCGCATAATTCTGTAACAATTGCATTTTCTGGATCATCTTGTCACAAGGTTTGTGTCTCACAGAAACACAATACTAAGAAATGGACTTAAAGAGCAGTTAGAAAATGCTTAAAAACAATATTTCACGCTTGTTAATTACATCACGGATGACGCACGGCAGTTACGTCACGTATTGTAAAAAATAATGTTAGGAGTACCCTTTGAATTTAATGTTACCAGTACAGCTCTATTATCGTTCCGTATTGAACGTTCCTGAACGAGTGGAATTGCACGGCAATACGCAGGTTCGGTGAATATGGAAAGACGAAATGTAAAACGATTTTTTTTTAATTTTTGAAAAATATGAATTTTATTATACGTGCCTGCCGGCCTGTGTGTTACCCTTTACCGATGTTGATCAGAAGCAAAAATGACACCGATATGCCCGCTTGCAAGTACCTGTCGATGTCGCGAAAACGAGTGGTTAGTTCTATACGGTACACTAGTCTTCGTTTTTACCCAATTATTGTATTTTGGAACTTTTTGTTTACTGATACTATCAAGTATTATGTCCTGTTAGGTTAGGTTAGGTTAGGTTAGGATTAGGAGATTGTTCCACCATTTGTCGAAAAACTGAAAGCCTTCAGTACTTTTTTTATGCAGTATTATTTTCTGTTAAAAAGGAATAGGGCAAGTTATTTTTGAAAGGTATACGATACCTTTTGTATAGGCTGAAACACGGAATAGAAATTTCGGAAGTGTGCCGTTTCGTTATCTGACATAATCATCTTTGGAACTCAAAACCCAAGAGGTTCTTACTATGTGCAATTTTTTTCCGGAAGGCTATATCCTAACATAGTGTGTGAGTCAGAACACTAAGCTAAATAGATACCAAGCGCAGTCACAGTAGTCAACGGACACGTTTGTACCCGTTGTATGTCCTGCTCTGTAGCAAAACTATTTGAAGACTACCTTAAAGAAGCCTAATGTAAGACAAATTCAGCGATAGAGCTGCAACGAGAAACAAGTGTAATCTTCATTCCGGGTCACTTCTGCGAAATAAAGCCTAACAAGTTTAATGGGGCATGAAAATGTAATCGTAAGTAAGCGAATATGACGAAAAGGTACAAGTTAAAAAACATGAGGTCGAAGTAAGACCATTCAAGTTGAAATATTATTTGACCATGTTTCTTAAAGCTCTTAAGATTCGTGCGAAGAGACTAAAGCTTTGAGCGGGTCTATTCGGATTCTGTTGGTATGACTGGTAATGAATTTCTAATTGCTGAAACTAGCCTAACATCTATATATGATGGTATGAATTACAATTGAGTTATACGCTCTATTTACAGCTTCCTGTATTTCCAATCTTTCAAATCTGCTCTGTTTTTTGATGATGGCTAGTTACCGCTTTTGCGAGCTCATCGCGTCGTCCCGTCTTGCAGTATTACTTCTCGTATGTGTGTTTGGACACACGGGACAAGTTCATAGAAGCATCGTTGGATCTGCATTCGAATGCGGAATCTCGAAAAGGGCCTCATCGCTCATCATCGGCGGAGAAGAAGCCATCGCACACGAGTTCCCATGGCAGGTATCGTTACAGAAGCGCGGCCCGTTTAAATCTGCCTGGCAGCACAACTGTGGCGGAAGCCTTATCGATGAACAGTGGGTACTTACGGCGGGTCACTGCTTTCGAAAAGTTGCCTGCCATAAGTATCGGATTGCCGCTGGTGGACATAATTTATCAGGCATTAATGAGCTAGACGGAGTTTACCGTAAACCAAAAAAGTGTGTCGTAAATCCCATGTACCATTCAGCACCATGCCTACGCCACAATTACGATTTTGCCCTGGTTCAACTGAACGAGCCCGTAGATTTTGCTGGTAGCGACGGCTCTATTGCGCCCGTGTGTCTTCCGTCTGAAGATGACTTTGATTCGTTTGACGATCAAGAGTGTATCGCATCGGGCTGGGGTCAAACTAGCCGCGAAAACCGTACTAGACCGTCAGATATCTTGAAAAAAGTTCAAATAAAGCCGATATCCTTTGAAAAATGCCGCGCCGATTATTTAAAAAGAGACATTTATGCCATCGGAAAAAGTATTCTCTGCACATCTTCGGAAACCCAAAGTGATGTTTATAAAGGTGATTCTGGTAGTCCACTGCAATGCGAACGTGGTCACCGTTATGTTCTCGCGGGTCTTGTAAGTGGAGGCTACCGAAAGATCGATATAAACTTACCGATGCTCTATGCACGTGTTAGCGAAGCAGTTAGCTGGATTAACAAAGTACGAACAGAGCAGACAAACAAACTCGAGCGTTCTGAGCCTGCTAAACAAGCTGCTCAGAATCAATCGGGTTCAGACCTACCTAAATAACATCGTCGGAAGCAGCCAAGCTCTGACAAATCTAAACAATATCGTGCAAGGCAGCAGCGATATGAGTCGTCTAAACACGGTAATACTGGACCCGAAGATTCTGGCTCGCGCGAACTGGATTACAGGGGACTGTGACTTAGCCGGGCGGCATTATACGGAAAAACAGTATTTATTTTGGCTAACCAGCGTAATCAGAAAGAAAAGTAAGTACTGGGAGAAAATCATTCGTGAAAATTGAAAGGCGAATCAACAGGGGCTTTTGAGTTATCGTTATATTGATCCGAATCAACGAAGGAACACACGAGTTAAAAATACCTTAGTTCGAATCTATGAATATATCTATATCTGGTTTTGTTGTTTGAGCTTGAATGTACAAGGATTTAAATCACTGCACTATTAACAACAAATGAGCAAGATTTATTAAATTATTACCGATATCGATTTAAAAGAGTGTGATGAGTAATCTTCTAAGCCTTGGTCTAAAATACCGTACGGAGGTCTAATTGGCCCAGATTAATGATTTAGTAATATATACGTATATGTTCAAATACTTTTATAAAATAAAGCTATGCTTCAAAGGTTGCTGCTTGCTGTCCTACGATACAAAAGAGATGCGTTATTTTGAAGAACGTGTTTTAACGTTTGCTTCCTAAAGAAATCATTGAAGATCGGTACTTTTATTTGCTCTTTACTGGCTTGACGTGGTTATACACAAAAGAGGGACGTATGGAATGACACTGACCCTGTCTATTGCCGGTTTCTGAATAGACACATATAAAACTTGCTAGTTTGTTTTTGCTAAATTTGTTTTTGCTTTTTGCAAATGCAGTTTGACATTTAACAAAGGTTCCAATATAAACAAAAAAATCTCACATCTGCTGTTACTTAAAAAACAACAAACGCAATATATGTAGATTCAGCAATTGAAGTCCATAATAGAAAAAGCTGATTAATTATATGACCTAGATTTTAGTTGGGGTGGACAAATTAGGCTTTACACAAAAATTCGATGATGATAACGATACGCTAGGGGAAATCTGATGCTCAACACCCAGAAAAACCGTCGATATAAATTTATCTGTGTGGTAAAGATATTTGCAAACTGAAAAAATTTACCCTTTGGGGCAGTCGGGCTCTTGAAAAAAACTACTGAAATATTACAATGTAAACGCCTAGTATTTTTTATTATCTATTATAAACCAAACTCAAATGTAGTGTTTTTTTCAAAATTTATTAACGCACGTCTCACCCTGTGCTTAAGTACCCGTCGACCTAGCAGGCCGTAATTTCTGCCATGTTAAAACAGTTTTTCCATCTCAAGATTGTAACTGCTTCATTTTAGGTTTTGCTTGATCCTCGGAAGGAGAAAAAGAGGGCGCTAGGTCTGGTGGATAAACTCAGATAACAAAAATGTGCCGTTGAGATGAAGCTTTTCTTTATAACTCGCGATGCAAACACGGAATCGAGGTGGGCTTTCACTAAAAACGCATTCGTCTCCTGATACAAAGTTTGCTTATAAGACTACGAATAGCCTCTTTAAATTGCTTGGAATCACCTGTGTGATTCAACAGTTCTCTCAGCTCTCTGTGAGTAATTCAACGATCCTCTAGCACGGATTATTTTACTTTTCCCACAGTTTCGTCCGTACTCGATACATTAGATTGCCCAGAACGAAGATTGTCCTTAAGCCTGTTTGCTGATTGCGGAACCCTAGGCAGCACTGACAGGCTTCACATTGACCTATGTTCTGGACTTGGAAGCTTTTAGATACTATCGATCTTGCATTTGCTTTCGAAAAAAAGACGAAAGAACAACGAACACATAATCCATTTACTTACAGGTGCTTGTAGAGTACCAGCACACGCTCAAGTGTCTTGAATATGGTACGTGAGTATTATACAATCCCAGTACGCGTATGTCGCCTTACAAACAAATATCCAGCGCTTATCAATACCTTCTTGATCTAGTGTCTTATGGTAACACTCGCTTTTCACTCACTTTTTGGTGTCCATTCTGAAGCAAAGCCAATAGACAGATCATAAGTTTGCGCACATTAATCCACGTTATGGGGGTAACATCTGTATAACCGCACTTCTTAAAGCAAGCGTATCCAGCTATAACAGTAGACTATCTGGATAAGCTCTGCTGGATCAGAGCTTTCTTTCGCCTCGAAGACGAGCCTCAGGAAAACACCAACCTTACCGTTTTGCTGATGTCGCTTAAAGGAACAACACTCAACTTTGTCAGACTTAGTTAGTCCTGCACCACCTAGTTGGCTTGCATGAATGGCTTCACGGTCCCGCTTGGTCAAGTAGTTAGACATTTTTGGCACGGAAAAAAACTGGTTATCTATTAGGTTTCTACGGAGTATACCTTTGAGGACCTTCGTCTCGAAAGACGTGGTCCTTTATCGTAGTTACCGCTTGGCAAGATATCCGCATTCTTCGAGCCATGCTTTCGGGGTAGTTTATTTTTTTTGTCCATATTAAACCTTGCCATCCATTAAGTGCAAATGCCCCAAGTGCAGCGATGCTCCTTTGTTACTTACTAGCAGAGGAGAGCAACGCTCCACAGCTACTCGCTCTGCGATTCGAAATACATTTTCAAAACGATTGTAAACTATTTATAAAAAAAAAGCAATATATATATATATATATATATATATATATATATATATATATATATATATATATAGATTCTACATAGATGTAAGTTCCGCTTCGTTTTATACAATTTGCAGCTATTGTACATAACGAAAAAAGTTACTATACATATTTTGTTATAGCAAAAGAGGATACGGCTAAGGTGTAACAAATATGGCCGATATATTGTTAGTCTCCGACCAGCGGTTTAGCTTTCTCACTGTCTATATATACATATGAAAATAGGCATATTGGTTGAAAATTAACAGTCGATTTTATTAAGATATTGAATTAGCTTGTTCCCCAATGGACCACACGACTGTGACTGCCGTGTTGACATGAACCGTGTCTAGTTAAAAGGCAGCCGTCAATAAAATCTTGTATATCTATCAATATACATATACAGTATCAATAAAATAAAAACTGGCTCAGAGAAACCAAGTGCGGTTCAGCTGTACTCATTTAAGGGCAGTTAGTATATGCTTTCACTTTACGAAATAATCCCGCAAAACACCATAAAGCAGTCGGTTGCATATGTACCGTAATGTTCAGTAATTGCTAGTCCACTTGAAGGGACAAAAGTGGCCGGAAGATAAGTTTTAGCTGGAGGATGATCTTCAATGAGGATTCTTGCCAAATAAATCTTCTCGCCATTGTTGTTCCTTCCCAGCTGCACACAACGCTCCATGTCGACCATGGAATTATATTGAACCCAGCGCATTGTTACCTATATAGGATAAGATGACACAATAAATTAACGGCTTTATTGCTAGCATTACGGAAAGCATTTCCGTAGTATTTAGCACCAACCGTGTTATAATGACTTTGTTTTTTTTTTATTAAAAACCAGGTCAGACTTTATGGATGCTTCGATATACGCTAGAAAAGATAAATGTCCTATGTCCTGCCTATTGCATATAATAGGTCCCCCCCACCAAACGAATCTTTCATGGGTCTATAAAATTTAAAATTACTTCAAAATGTGTTAAATGTTTGCTACAGTAAAGTAACAATGAGTATTGCAACAAAAACTCTCACAAGTTTCCTATCTTCTACCTTTTTTCTTTTATCATTTAGATACAACACTGTAATTGCAAACCTGCCTTGTCGAGTCCTTTGCATGTGAGGATTTCCGCCAAAACGTTATCCTCATAATGTATATCGTCAAAACCTCGCACTCCATGCACTATGACGCTATGTCTAGTTCTTTGCCACCCAAAAGCGGGAACCTGACCGGTTCCATTGATCCTGACTACGTATAGGGGCGATGTTCCTCTAGTACCACCCATATGATAGAAACCGGCGGCAAATGCGTTTGGTGGAGGGGCTGTGTTCGTTGTAAAAGATGTCCAGACACAGACTGCTGTAATGACAGCCGTTGCCATCGTGAGCTCACTCCGTGCTAAAAGTATTTGGAGCTAAAAGTATTTGGAAATTATTTCTTTTGATGATTTCGCAGAGATCTAACAAAACATTTTTGTGCTACAAAATATAAACGTTTTTTTTTTTTTAATTTAAACACATAAGATATAATTAGATACAATTACGTGATACAAAAGAGGTAATAAGAAAAGTTTGAATTCGCTTGTATCATCTAATGCTACGCTAGTTAAGACGGAGAGGATTCATCATATGGTAAATTCAGCGGTGCCTACTTCAACTCATTAAGTAATATTTAGTACACATTACGGATTTTATAACAGAGGATATAGATGCAATTTTTTATGACAAGCGGCAGACGGGTTGAATATATTATGATGTTTTTGCTAAGCAGACGATCTAAATAGAATAACCATATGTACACAACGTAAGTGCAATGTCATGTACTGTCGAATTTATCTAACATATGATAGTCGCATTTTGAATATAGAAAAGGTAGTCTTTTACGTTTCGTCCACGACCGTATTGCGCTCCCTGCTAACAAGGTTCACTGAAAATTTTGACAGAATTTGCACTTTTACTGTAAACAAATGCAGTTGGAGTGACCGTGGCGGGTCTCTATTCATATATATATGTATATACATATAATCCGTCTTTTGATTCGCTATCGGAGAATTTAAATAGTGTTTTGGTGTGGCGCACCCGTCTAAGATAGGGTTCGACTTGATTTTCGGCCTTCATTGTCATAATAACATATGCAAACAGACATTTAATCTGCCAAGAAAAACATAAAATACCGAATCATAAAATAGATTCATGTACATCGAGTTTAATTTTGATGCACTTAAAAGGAGGGTACGTGAAACGTCGCATAATCACATAGAACTATGTAACAATGATATAAAACGACAAAATAGTCTGAACTTACTGCTAAAGAGCTCCGCTTAGGAACGTTGAGAAGGCCACCAAACACCACTATGGCTACGAACCTTTACCCAGAGTCACTGACGGCTTATTAACTCAATAAATGCTACCCGACAAATAGCTCTTTCTTCGTGTAAACGCAGCGTTCTCTTTATATACGATACGAAAAACTACGATTTGCCGGCCTGATGGAAAACTGGCATCGGCCATAATATTGCTCTTTCCACTTTCCAATTTCAATAGCAAACGGCCATTTTCCTTACCAGTGTGTTTGTGCGCGTGTGTGTGCATTATGAATCCGTACGGACCCGAAATGCGTGACTCTTACTTTTTTCGATAGATTCCTGGCAAATGCGTATACACATGACGCAGAGTTATCCTGGAAACCGCGTCCCCAATAGATTCCGAACCCTCTTCGAATGCTGTGTAGATTTATACTGCCTTCGTAAGTCGAGAAACAGTTAAATTGAAATCGAACATCGAAGTTGCGGTGCTGGGACGACCTAATTCTCTATATAAGCCTAGAGTCGGATAATTTCATCAAGCATTGCCATCGTCTAAATTGAAAATGGGGTTTGCCGGTTATGAGTAAGCTACATGAAAAGCTGTCCGCTAGGTATTCTGGGTGCCTTTTGCGTACCAATATCCACCCAAATTTTGGCAACGAGCTGCGCTAAAAGATTTTTGTCATAAAATGTGAAATGAGGTGAAAGAGTATTAAATATAGCTTACTGTAATTCTACGAAGCGTAAACAAATTTTGATGACGATGATTCTGTTCGCACTAAGGCTCTCAGCGAGGAGAGAAGTAAAATCGCCTACAGGCCGTTTTGGCCGTGATGGAGCTGTTTGCGGTTCCCATAACGCTGACTTTTAGCAATCAAAAATAGAAAGACAATCATAAGTATCTTAAAAAAGTGACACAGCGTAAGTTGTAACGATCGAAGTTCTTGATGGCTTATATATATATAAAGTTGATTTCTTAAAACAAATGAGACATCTAAAAGGACTAAAATTCCTATAATAAAAGACTATTCATCTAGCCGATGAAAAGCATATAACATCAATGGCTTTTTAAGGTATTCTGCAGCTTGATAGCCTAATATGTACGTACATTCTGGAGTATAATTTTACTGCACGAACTATACTTATTATGAACTTGCATATAGACTTAGTGACATTACCTCAGTGGCTCAGATAAGCAAAATCTCCTTGGCATCTCGGCCTTAGAATAACCCTTTCAGTAACATTCAATCTTTAATTTTTTTGTTTGTATTCTGTGAAGTAGTGCTGCTACAACCAGGTCGAGACGTCACCTGTACAAATGGCGACGGGGGGTACCACGTATGCGGTAGGTTATGATTTCTTCTTTCGAATTCACACCGAAGCCTTTCATTCGAGCCTAGATCTTCGTGGTCGGTGCTACTGAGTGATACTCATGATACACGTTTTGAAATAAATAATCGATACGATGGAGGAAAACGCCTTGTTTCTGTTTTCATTTAGTGCCCTATTGATGGTTAGCATATTTCCAACTTATGTTTCAGTCATTGAAGAATGAATCAAACTGAGATGTATCCTACCCGTGAGAGAGGTGCGTTAGACCTTAAGGGGGGCTGTGCAGCTTTTTTGAATTTTGTCATATTTTCCCGCAGACCGTGTAGCTCCTTGGCAGGTACTACTTATTTTAAAAGTATGCACGTAACAGAAATACTTGGCCCAAACTTTATTTATAAAGCGTGTTTTTCTCATGTTTTCTGTTGAAGCAAGTAATCCTCTTTTTTGAGAGAACTATCGCATTGAAGATATTGGGTTTGCGCAGATGATTCATTTATACACCGATCGACGCATAAGCGACGACAGGTTCGATCAGCCAAGGATGATTGCACTATAACGTAATGTGCCTTCAAATTCACTTAAACTTCGAAAGTGCCTCAAAAGACATCCGAGCAAAACACGCAATTTAGTGAGCTCAGGGTTGATATATCTGGTAAACCCACTTCAACTTAAAACGTCACTTTTAAAATTACGTTTGAAAGAACGTTTGTGGTAATTAATATTTAAAAAAAACTGCTTGAAAAACTATGGTATTCGATGTTATGGTACAAGTGCTTTGTCTGCACAAGAAGTTATCCGAAGAAGACAACCGAGCTAAATTATGAAGTTTGTGCTCAGGGAAATAAGCACCAATTCATTATTTAGTGACTTTACTAGCTATATTGTTACATGTCCAATTTACGCATTATAGATCAGGCTAGAGTAGCACCTTGAAAATAAGCTGGAAACTATAGCACTGCCTGAAAGATTCTATGGTCTATACAGGAAGTTTCATTAATGCTAACCATCAATCGGAGCTCATTTCATAAAACAGAATTCGAATTACTGAAGATCAGACAGAAACGAGGACACGACGAAAAAGGTGAACAAACAACTGTATGTTATTGTTAAAAAGGCATTCAGTAAAAAGTCGGACAAATAGAGTTATTATTATTAGAGAAAAAAGAGGACAAATGGAGTCGTAAATCGTGAACTGACATGGTTAATATAAATGTGTATGTTCAAAAGTAAGTCAGAAATAATTGATTGCCGTACACGGTCGTGTGATTTCCGGAAAGGAATACGGTTACTTAAACATTCGGCCATTTCCTCATTAAGAATTTCATCTACTACCACCGTCCTACTATATTAGAAACCCTTCTTTAAAACGTAGAGACGTTAGTAGCTCGTTATAACTTGCGAGACGCATTGTTAGAAGTATAACGGAGCCAGCTTGTTGTCTTGCTAGCATAACTTTTTCTCAGATAACTGTTATAGAAAAGAAATGGTCTCTACGTAATTGCTTGCTTTCTACCTCTACACGAAGCATTGGCATGTGTACAGTTATTTATTACTTTGTAGGACGATGCAAGACGTAGGGCGTCTCGTCGATTGTTCGCATCTTCGTAAATATACGTCTTACGAGTTAATATACAAGCATATATGCTTTGTCAGAGACTCATTTTGCATTAATTATACTTAACAAATGAATATAAGAGGAAATTGGGCCATATGGGCTACTCCGGACTTTTTTTCCGAAAAAAGACGTTTATTTGACGTCTATGTTTCGAGTTTTACATTTGGTATCGCCCTTAGACGTTCCATGAGACGGCTGGCTCGTTGCCAGCGCGAAACGAAGTCTGCCTGTCTATGCTTGGGTTTGAACCCAGACCATGAGATTAGCATAATTTGAGTGCCTAATATTATCAGAGTGTCATAATGCTTTAGATAGATGTGATAGATATTTTCACAATCACTGGGTTTTTTTCTCTAACAAAATTTTAAAAGATCGAACTATATGGGACAGCCGAACATTTTTTTTGCAGTTGGTTAAACTTTTGCAGAATAATAGAAAAGCGAAGTTAGAAATTCGGCGTTGTACGACGGGTCCGTTTGTCGCAAGGATGCATCCTCTTTCTCAAAAAGAGCACAAATTACATTATCACCCTCGGGCCTAGATGCTCCATGTGAGTTAGGCCTATACGGGCTAGTATGATTTTTAGTTTATATGAAATTCTACTATGCAATGAAATTGGAATAGCTAAAATGTCTCTGGGTAAAATTCACTGATTTGGAAATACACACGTATCTATATATAAAACTAAACTGACGTATCGCATTTTCGCGCTTATGTGTCACACCTAAAGGTTGTGTTCACCAGAAACCAATATTCTTATAGGGGAGATATATAACTCGAATGCTTTATTTTGCTGATCAGTAATAAGCATAAGTCATAAGCATAAAACTTTTAGTCCGCTGATAATTCAAGCATCATGCATGCAAACATGCGGTTTTTACAAGCATGCTTGTTGATTTAAGTTCACTCGGTAAATCACCAGTTTAGAAAAACTAGCGCGTTTTCATCACCTGTACAACACAGCTGACCAATGTACCATATTTTTAAATATATCATGTCTCTAAATGACTTGAGCGCTGTGTCCTGTCGATCTTTTGAAACTTATGTAACGATTTATCAAGCAGAGAATGTTGAACTTGGCTATTATATCTCGGAGGTTTCTCGAATAAAAGCAACAGGGTGCATTCATGTCCATATATATATAGTGCAAATCAATAAGGCCACTAAAAACACGCTAACGTAATTTCGATCTCAATGTCGAGTCCTACCTGCCTACCTCATTTGTCCTGAAGGAGCTAACGGTTAGGTGAACAAGTATAAATCGAAATATATAGAAAAGCAAATAGCTTCTATGGAAATTGTCCTAGCCGAAGACGCAATCTAGTCTAGTTACTTCTATATTGCGCTCCACAACTCTGTACTGTGCATATAATTTAATAGCTGAGATATGTCCAAAAAAAAAGTCTTCGAAAAAACACCAATTAATCGGATAACGTTTATTGCATTCATATTTGTTCACGATGCCACTAAATCCATATATAGAATAGTCCATTATGCTTAATAACCCTCTCAGAAAATGTATTTTGCCTCGTGGGAACAGGTAAAGTGTTAGCAACAATAAACATAGTTACATACCCGCATTTTGCGACGCTTACAACCATAACTTTCGAGACAGGCTTATTTTTAACGGCCTGAAAATTTATACGCAACTGACTCGTTTGAACGGATTTTTACAATAATTAATATACTATTAGCTGGAAAGTTTACAAGCTACGTGAGTGAGTAGACAGCGTAGAGCAAATTTCGAATTGTACTTAATGTATTTCCGCCTTCTTACTTGTGGGCGTGAAAATTATAGCAAAGTAATGATGATCACATGTAGAGGAGACAAACAGATATTATCTGCTAAGCAGCACACCAAAAGTTCTCAAGTATTATTTTTTCGATTAGGTTTTGTAGAATAGGACAAGATTGCTCTGTATTATTTAAATGCACCCTCCTTCTAGTTGGCGTTACGTAGTTCCTTAACTTCTTCTTCTTATCATTTTTAGTTCGTGTCAACATTTAACTGAAATGTATGTAAGCAGCATGAGCCACTGCGAGCAGCTAATTCGTACGTACGGAGCGCTTTTTTGTAGCTCGTAGTTCGATCTTATACCGTTGCTGCCGTCAGAATCGTAAAAAATTACGCATTTTTCATCGAATACTCCAGTGACTTATTAGCTTGCCGCCGCGGAATTACCGTTCCGGTTGAGATCTTTTTTATTCTTTTATCATTTGGTGTATGAAGATACGTTTATGTGACTAAGATTGAACGCCGAAAGCTTGCAATAT